CAGCTTAAATGTCACTTGAGGCGTGACAAAACAAGTGTGGTACACCCACACTAAACAACTTAAAAAAATGAGCTAAATCTATCTATCTATATATCTATGAACAATAAATATACTATGCAGTGAAAAAAAGTGAGTTTTGGAATAATATGTATCAGTTTGATTCTTCCAAAAATTATATATTTGCAACCTAGGAACATATATGTGGTACATATATGTAATATAGAAATTTCTAGAAGTATAAACAACAAACTGAAAACAATTGTTATCTTGGGAGAGGACTGGGATGTGCTTGAAGGAGGGGTGGGGGGTTGATAGAGATGGATTTTTACTTTCATCGATACTGTATGATTTTTTTGGCAATAAAATGCATGAGTGTTATTACATCGTAAGATCTATTTTAAATTAAAAGAGAAAGATAAATTGAACTGAATGAAATAATCTGACATTTCAAAGTTGTCAAAACTGATGATCAAATCTATTAAAATGTTTTACAAAGCAACAATTAGCACAGAAAGTTCAAAACTATTTTTCCTATTTTGTTAAAAGTATGTATGTGTATATACATATAGACTTACATAGACTATACATATCTACATATATTCACATGGATACTACATCTATCTACCTATCCATTATCTATCTATACACGCTATATATCTCTATATATGCTGCACGTATCTATATATACTTATATACTTATATATACTTATAATAAAATGCATAAATCCTGCTTTGGTTAAATCGTAGATAAATACCTCATTCTTTATCATTGTTCTTATTATTTATAATGGCAAACATATCTCCTATATGATTATGATTAATCTGATAATTGAATACAGTTTGCCTTTTAAATAATTCAATTAACTTTAGTAAATTAAAAAAGTTTTCTGACATAGTTGCAAAATTAAAACAAAATGAAGCACTGCTTTATGATATGTAGCATCCCTTTAAATGAAACCCTTCCAAGTGTGAAGAATGCGTTAAGGTTTTATCAAATGAATGTTCTGTGTAGAAAAACTGATCTAAATTGTGATTTAAACTTTACAACCACTACAATCTTTCCCTTTGAGCAGAACTTCTGTTGGAAACTGAAAGGGTAGGGGGGGTTATCTCAGACCTCTGGGGATATCCCAGGAAACAAGAGCTACTCTAAAGGAATTGTGCAAGATTGACACCAACAGGAATTCCTTTCTAGACTATGTGAGACTGTAGATTGGGTGTTTAGTTCCACTGAGAAAAGGGGAAGCTACTGAGCTTTTTATTTACCCAGGGAACCAGTCCTGAAGATCCTCAATGGTCTGTGCGTGCACGGATGTCTCTGGGGGTGATCAAATCCTCCCCTCACCCGGCAGGGAGGAGACTGTATGCACAGACCGCAATCATGCACCTGCCGGTCAACAGATAAGCCCTCCATATGCGGAGGCACTCGCCCAGCTGTGGCCGAGGAGCAGAGCCAGCCCATTCCCTCCCCCATCCCCGCAGAACAAAGGGCGGTCATTTTCTGCTCCTCCCAGAGTCAGATGCACGCGCGCGCACACGCCTTCCATCACAATTAACTCAAGAAACTGAAACACGACACAAACTCACCCGCAACATGTTCAAAATCAATGCCGTCAATACCCAGAACGAGGATACCAAAAAAGCAAAACAAAACAAACCTATTCAAAGAGTAAATAGTCAAAGCAACAGGGCTCAAGTCAGACACACTACAAGGTCAACACATGTAAGACAAGTTCAAGTACAGGGCGCCTTATACACTGAAGAGCTGGCCATTATCCCAGGGGTCGCAAAGGTAAATGCCTTCAGGGACCAGCAAAGGTCTATAAGATAATACAGAGTGGGCCTGTCATGAGCTGGACCACAGGTGCTCCAGGTAAAGGTATTCACCTTCAATTTTTAGAAATTTCAACTCTTGCAGCATGATTCCTAAACATGATTCTATAATTAAACAGAGAAGGAAACGGAGTTAAATATGGGTAAAGAGTAGATGACATAGAATAAGAGTTGAAACCAGAAATGTGGCCAAGTCCACAGAGAATAAAACGCAGAGCAGTGATCCTAGTTGTCATTGTTTGAAAGAATGGTGACCACTTGGTTTATGTCTTCAAAGGCAATAGCAAAGCAAAGGTTAAAAGAAATGGCTTATTAAACTCTAATATGAGGGATTCAGATTTGTCAAATAGATTCTTGACATAAGTAATTGAGCTAGATTACAAAAAGATTGCACACATTCTCTTGGAAGGCTTTAAATAAATGGAGCTTCTAAGAGCGATAGGTGTGGCCCAATTGGAAGGCAAGGGGTGGACCAAATGACCTCCCAAGGTCCTGAATTAAATATGTCTATATAGTCAACCCTTGCTTATCCATCCCAAAGAAGAAGACAGTGACAAATCATCCTAAGCTGAAGATAATAGAAAGTTATATTTGCCTTTGGAACGTATTTTGGTACTTAAATTAGAACGTGTCTTTCTGACGCTCTGAGAATTCACAATGCTTCACAACAGCCACAAAGAAGGCCTGACCTGGAGCTGGGAGGCTGCCCAATTTCATCATCCTGTCCTCCACGCAAACCTCCTTTGCTGGGAGCGGGCAGTATCATCTTGCAGAAGAACACTCGGCAGCCCAAACTTTCCCAGACAGGGCCTGCCTGGCTCAACCCTTCCCTGGGAGAAGGGAGAAGGATCTTTCCCTGATCTCTGGCTGATTCAGGATGAGGATCCAGGATGGTCTGGGTTTTGTTTCCAGAGGAGGACTCCAAAGTGCTGCAGGCCCCACAGTCAGCAGCAAGCTAGACCAGGTTTACCTACTCTAAGATGACTACAAAGGATGGTCTAGCCTCCCTACCACCGAGGACACAGAAGCAGATTTCTTGAGTTCCTTGGAAGAGACAGAGGGAGGGACTTCATGGGAAACGAAGATGAAATGAATGCCCAGCACTTGGAAAGAAAGAAACTGCATGCTCAGGAGATGCAGTGGTAACTGTGTGTGTCCAAAAATGGGTGCGATGTCCAAGATGTCCAAGATGAAGGGCCAGGATGCTTACTGCACTAAGTTGTAGAGGGCCCGGGAGGAGGGAAGGATGGTTACCCTACCATCCTCTGTCCTCTGTCAGCTCCCAGGAGCTACTGGGGGAGGCTGGTACCATCTAACAGGAGGCGGGGCCAGCTAGAACATTTCAGACATGCATCAAAGTCCCACAAGCAGAGCCTCATGGCTCTGGGAGGCAGGATTTGATGAGGTGGGCTGCTCCCGATTCAGAGAGACACCAGACTGTCACAGCACCAAGCGTGGACAAGCTGCTCAGGTCACCTCAGCAGGGTCATTACAACCACTTCTGATGTTCCTTTTTCTACCACATTCTGCTCTTTAGTTTTTCCTCCTTAAGACCCAGAACTGTGCTAATTTCAATGTGGGCAGTATCATCTTATAGAAGAACACTCGGCAGCCCAAACTTTCCCAGACAGGGCCTGCCTGTTAAATTAAATTTAAATTTAATTTAAATGAAATAAAATTAAAAATTCAGTTCCTCAGTCATAGTAGCCACATTTCAAATGCTCCACAGCCACGTGTGGCTAGTGGACACCATATCGGACAGCACCGACATAGAACATCTACATCATTGCAGAAGGTTCTATTGGACGGGGTACTCATCCAGACTTCTAGGAGGTCTAGAATTGGGTACCTTTTACTCTTCACAGTGTAGAAGAAATGAATAAATGGAAGAAGAAGTGTGCTTTATAAAGTATCTCTTCTACGCATCATCACCACTCATCCTCACCCTGTCCTGTGTGGTAGGTGGGGGTAGACTTCAATATGCCCATTTCATAGGTGAGAAAATAGGCACCGCATAGCTGAGTAACTCGCACAAGGTTCGCAACCATTGGGTGGTATAGTTAGGATTAACACCAGGTCTTCCAATTCCAAGGTCAGTGCTCTCTGCTGTTACATGCAGCTGCTACAAACAATGCTACCTGACAGTGACTGTTTTCCATGCTGCCATAGAAGCTAAGGCCTCCCAGAATGAGGAGGACAGGCCCTCGTGTGTTTATCGATCGACTGATTTTTGAAGTGATAACAAAACTTTGCACAACCGTAGTTCAGTAGCTCTAGGGTTAGGGAGCCCTGGGGTTCAAATCCTGACGCATCCATGTCCTGTTTAATTGATGAGGGCAAGTCGCTTCCCGTCTAATTCTCTTTTCTTGTGTATGTACTTCACAGAGTTGTCAGGAGGATGAAGTAAGACAGTGCCGGGGAAAGGCTCAGCACGGGGCTCCAGAAATAGTGCTTATCGATGGTTACTGGCAGACCTGACAATGCACTAGTACATGCAACACCCTACTGAGGTTTCAGGACAAGAAAGCATGACAATTATTCCCATTTCTACAGACGGTACATCTGAATCTCAGCGAGTAAGGGACGGACTCAGGTCATGCAACTAGAAAGCTGTAGCTCTACGGCATGAATTCAAGCTATTTGGACTCCAAATCATATGCTTTTCTTACTACACAATGTTGCTTCTCGGGCGGGCAGCAAGGCATGCTTTAGAGTAAGTTTAGCTATCCTGAATTTCCGTCTTCCTCCCTTCTGTGAAAGGGATGATTACTGTCTTCCTAGTCTTATGGAAAATGCTGTGCAAAGGCAGCTTTGAGCAGCCCCTTCTCTCATAATTGTCACCTTTAAGCCCTTCCTTCGTAGAGAGTCTACAGTCCCACTGCTAAGGAAGTGTTACTTGTATAACTAAGGAGACTAAAAATCTGAAGAGCAAGCCTTGAAGCACAGCATTCAAATTCTCTCCCTGAAAAACTCTCCAGCCTCCATCTCTCACTGCTACAGCAAAAGACAAGGACATGGCATACTAGAGGCCCAGCTGAGCCCAGCCGAGACCTAGGAGCCGGAATACGTATTGTTGCAAACCATTGGCTCTTGGTATCTGTCACTCAGCCTTATCACAGCAAAAGCTGACTGATATATGGATCAGACTCAGGGTGGGAGACACTCACCCTGCCACAACGATCTCAAAATCTCCATCATGGTCCACATCGGTGACTGCCACACCATAGTTGAGCTGGGTGGGGTTGCTGTCATAGTCAGGCGGCAGGACGGAGCTGGTGACTGCAGTGAACATGGGTTCAGCACGCTGGGACCCCTCGGTGGGGGGCAGAAACCGCAGCAGCAGCAGGAACAGTAACATTCTGAACATCTGCAACCAAAAGTTACAAATGTTACCGAAAGATCTCCTAAGCAAACAGCCCCAAGTAGGCCTTTCCCCCTTCTTCATGGAGGGCTTGGCCATTCCAAGGCTGCCACTTTTCCATAACACCTGCCCTGACCACCATGTTTAAACCTACAGCCTGCCTGCATCACACCTGATCACCCTTATCCTGCTCTGCTTCATCTTTCTCTATAGCACCTATCACTGTGTAATCTACTTATTCATTATGCTTACTATTGATTGTCTGGCTCCCTCTGCTAGAATGTAAGCTCCACCAGGGCAAGGATCATTGTGTTTTGCTTACCCATGCGCACCAAGCCAAGGACAGGGTCTGGCACATAACAGGCACTCATCACACAGTTGTTGAGTGAAGGAAAGAAGGAAGGAAGGAATGGGGGAGTTTAAATACATTGGCATCTCCCATACTCTGTAAGAAAGATTGGGGGAATGAAGAAGATAACCACTCTCAAACAGTCCTGGGGTGGAGTGAGACCCCCATGGGTATCCCGGTCTAGAACAACAACAGAGGCAGTGAAGGATTATCCTTCAATGGGACATACCCCAGAGGTAGCCTGGAGGGAATCTGGCCAAGGTCCCTCCCTAGAGCAGCTGGCTATCATCTCCAGATCAGAATTCAGGCATTTAGGGAATGTATTCCAGCAGGATCTGGCGGCGGCACATCATTCACTTGGAGAAATTAAACCATTGTGTGCGTGTTTTATTATAAATTAATTATGTATAATCCATTGTATAATTCATTATTATATCTCTAACATAACTCAGGGTGTTGCCCAGCAGCCTGAGGCCATGGGAGCTGGTGGCATGCACCCAGGAGACCGATGAGAATGGCCAAGGAGGTGGAAGGACCCCACCCCACCTCTGTGTGAGCTACAGATGGCACCACCCGGAGACTCTGCCTGCAGGCCTGGAGTCAGAACTCACAGAGTGTTCTAAGGGCTCTGCTGGAACAAGTCTCATGAAGGCTGCGCAGGTCCAGTCCTGCAGGCAAAGTGGTGCCTTCCTGCCTTCAGAAGGCAGCAGACCCCTTCTTGATGGAACTTTTCCTGTTGGCATGCCAGTGCGTCTGGCAGCCGAGAGCAAGGCTGAGTGAGGCTGATGTCTTAATGAACAGAAGATGTGAAGACTGACTCTCCATATGGAGACAGACGCTCCTGCCAGCAAACGAGCTTGCCTCCATTCAGGACCCCGAAACCCAAATGAAGGGCCCAGGCACTGCCTTCATAGTCAGACATGATTCAGAATCCTCCCTAGTGCCTTGCTGGTGAGGCTGGGGAGAGACCCAGGGGCAGGACTCCCACTGTGGGCAGAAACTAACCTTGGTGAGCCTTCCTGGGAAGGAGGCTCTTGCAGCGTGTTCATAAGGCACATGTTGCATGTTGCACTATGAGAGTGAGGTCAAGCCTAAATTACCGAGATGTCTGAACAAGGCAGTATCTTCTCCTGGGCTGTCTAATCACGGAAGGCAAACACATCACTGTGAGAGTTAAGCAACTCGGCAGGAAGTTTGGTTGGATAAAGGAAACTTATAATTGGATTAATGAGCAGCTGGTGGTAAAATGAGAACCTAAAGAGTATTTAATAATCAGTGTAGACATGATGAAATGTAGGGTGGATCTGAAGGTCACTGGTCTTTTCAAGGTATGACCTCTATTGTAAGGACAGCAAATGAGTTTCAACTTGAGAGCCAGATCCAATTGATTGGCAGTGGACTGAAAGAGTACTGTGATCAGATTACAAGGTTTGCAATGGACAGAGAAAAGGAAAGTGGCATTGGGTATATCTTCTAGAAGCTAGTTAGTCCCTCCCAGGCACCATACCTACAATTTGGGTCACTGGCACCAGGGAGGCAGGTCCAGTTGGGGTAATACAGAAGGTGAAACAACCTTCTGTTTAGGTAATATCAGAATTCTGGAATAGGTTTCAGAAGCACATAATTACTGAAAAATACTGTATAATAACTATTTTTTCTTAGATTGAACACTTAAACAGGAAGCCTCAATGTTCTTTAGAAGAGATTCGTAACTTATAAAAGTAAACATCTGGTAAAAATTTTCTAATGAAGGCCATGAGGGGCAAGAACCATGATCCAGCCTGTTGATTTTTACCTTTTCTGTGAAAAGGTGAACTTAAAAAAAAAAAAAGATTATTTATTTGTTTGTTTGAAAGAGAGAGACAGAGTGTGAGCGTGAGTCGGGGGGGAGAGGGGGAGAGGGAGAAGCAGACCCCCTGCTGGGCAAGGAGACTGATGTAGGGCTCGATCCCAGGGGCCTGGGATCATGTCCTGAGCCAAAGGCAGATGCTTAACCAATTGAGCCACCCAGGTGCCCCGCAAAGCTGAACTTTTAATTAAAGGAGCCATAATGAAAGAGGTAGCTACTCTGTGTTAACCATTTCCAGAAAAATAACCTAAAGCAAGATTAAAAAGAAGTATTACACCTATGGGCTGACCTCCATTTTGCTAGGTGAAGTTGAACAAGTCACAGCCTTGCTGGGTCCCAGCTTTCTTCTCCAAAATGAGAGTTTGGGATAGACTCTAAAGGTCCTTTCCTGCTCTAAAATTCTATGATGAATTAAAGGATTTTTTTTTAGAAGCAGAACTTCAGCAGTTTTTCTCTCCTGTGCCTTCTATAAACTTCAGACCAACCTATGTGATTTTCCTTTCTGAGTACATTAAACATATTTTGAACAAAACAGCTTTTCGGCAGGGTTCTGCAGTGTTCCCCCACAGAGGCCAAGGCCAGAGAGGAATAAGCCATCATTAGTGTGGAATCTGAAATCACCCCACATGGGCAGACCAGTGGACAGCAGCTCCCCCCACCCCCAGTGGGGCAGGGGCAGAGGGGGGCAGGGAGACCATGCAATTTACATGTTATTCTTCAGCTATGTCAAGGGCACTCAGTGCACCCACCCAGGTTGCTCCCAACCAGCTGTGAGTTAGAGGGGAAGCTGTGAGCCTATCTCCATGGCAGATAGGGAAACAGTTGTGGTGAAGAAACTCAGGAAAAGGCCTGGAAAAGATCCACCTTTTACTCTCAGGGCTCGTGTGAAAGAAATCATTGAAGGGCTTCTCTGTACCTTGACTACTCAGACTGGTGCCCAGACCAGCAGCCTCAACATCAGCTAGGAGTTTGTTAACAAGCAGGATCTTGGGCCCCACCCCAGACCTAATAAATAAGAATATGCATTTTAATAAGATTTCAGGTGATGCAAATGCACGTTAAAGTTTGAGAAACACTGCTCAGCTGGAGCTTTACACTGGAATCACTGGGGGAGTTTTTTAAAAAATACTGTTGTCTGACAATGATTTCTTGGACATGACACCAAAAGCACACAACAGAAAATATAGATAAAATGGATTACCTCAAAATTTAAAACTTTTGTACATCAAAGGACACTATCGGACAGAGTGAAAAGGCAACCCACAGAATGGGAGAAAATATTTGCAAATCATATGTCTGATAAGGGATTAATATCCAGAATTTATAAAGAGTTCCTACAACTCAACAACAAAAAACAACCGAATTAAAAATGGGCAAGGGACTTGAATAGACATTTCTCCAAAGAAGGTATATACAAATGGCCAATAAATATGTGAAAAGATGCTCAACATCAGTAATCATCAGGGAAATGCAAATCAGAACAATAATAAGATACCACTCATACCCATTAGGATGGATACAGCAAAAAACAAAAACAAAAAAACAAACCCAGAAAATGGCAGTCATTCATGAAGATGTGGGGGACTGAGACCCTTGCACACTGCTGGTAGGAATATAAAATGGCATAGCTACTTCGGAAAACCACTGTGCAGCAGTTCTTCAGAAAAAAATCCCAAATACAACTACCATGTGATCTGGAAATCCCACTTCTGGGTTTACACTGGAAAGAAGTGAAAGAAGGGGCTCAAAAAGATACTTGTACACCCTCATTCATAGCAGCAGTATTCACAAGAGCCAAAAGGTGGAAGCAACCCAAGAGTCCATCGACAGCTAAATGGTAAACAAGATGTGGTCTATACGTACAATGGAATATTATAATCTCTAAAAAGGAAGACCATTGTGACACACGCTATGACATGGATGAACCATGAAGACATTGTGCTGAGTGAAATAAGCCAGTCACAAAAGGACATATACTCTATCATTCCACTTAGATGTGGTACCCAGAATAGTCACATTCACAGACACAGAAAATAGAATGGTGGTTGTCAGGGGCTGGTGGGGGGAGGAGGAATGGGGAGTTAGTGTTTAATGGAGACAGAGTTTCAGTGTGGGAAGATGACAAAGTCTGGAAATGGATGGTGGTGATGGTTGCACACCAGTGTGAATGTGCTCAATGTAGCTGAACTCTACACTTAAAAATGGCTAATGTGGTACATTTAGAGACCAGATGTCTGGTCTCACACCAAGATAGTCTCACTTAACTGGCACAGGGTGCAGCAGGGGCACATCAGAGTTCTAAAAGCTCCCCCATGTGATTATAATATGTTCTATACCAGTGCTTCTCAAACTTTAATGTGTATGTGAATCATCTGGTGGTCTTGTTCAATTGCAGATTTCTGATTCACTAGATCTGTAGTAGGGTTCAACATTCCCCATTTCTAACAAGTTCCCAGGTGATGCCAATGATCCTGATCTACAAGTTACACATTGAGTAACAAGGTTCTGTACTATAGCTCCCAGTCAAGAAACCAGGGTATACACTACAGTGAAGGTATGAGATTAGTTCAGGAATCTGCTCCTCTGTCTCTAGATCTAAGATTGATTGAAATCAATCGAGGGTTATGCAATCGTCAGAGCTGCAGGCTCAGTTTATCTGTATATACTCAAAGTCCTAGCTGTCTTCAGCTCCGAGTTAAATTACCATACTTAATATGAAGTGACAAAGAAGGTTTCTGATTATAGTTTTTACAAAAAAGTGAGAGGGTAAGGGTTGGAACTGGAGGGGGGTCAGGTCTAGGAGAAAGG